ACAATTTTTCTGTCACATGTTGTTACATTTGATACATTTATGTCATATTTTGTTACATTTGTATGTTTATATAGCCTATAAATACATTCTATATACACCTAAAGCTATCCGCCCCACCCCCAGGAGATATGTTTTAACTTAATGTGACAGTAAATCTTAGTGATTTTTTTCTACAAAGCCATCTAGTAGAACGAGAGATTGAAAAGCATTTTGACAGAGTGGACAGGAGAGGAAATAATGTACTGCCATTGACCATGGAATCGTGACTTTATTATATTTGCCGAAGCACTTAAGACCCTGTAAATGCAAACTTTCCCAAAAGAAGTAATACTTATAAGGATCGATATAGTTAAACAATTTAACTCATTGCTTGATGCAGTATTAAGTAGGATTATTGTAATATTCAAATAATCCCACAAGGACACAAATGAAGGAGCAGTGCTTAAGGGTAATGCAATGGATTTATATGACCCAAGAGCTATAAGAGAAGGAAACTAGAGTGGCGACAGCCCGCCCCCATGCAGATGGCCACAATGTGAAAGCTCCAGGCCCATGAGCCCTGTGGGATATGAGGTTTAGCAGAGAGGGCTGCTGGCCTTAGAACATTGGTTGGCGAGATCAGTGTGAGGAAATCCCATGCTAACTCCCTGCTGCCAGCCCATGTATCCGTGGAGAAGAAGAATGCCTGCTCTGCTGGGGAGGAGCTATGGGATGGGTTGCAGGCCACTCTGTTGTCCCTGGGCCAATCACCTGTCAAGGAGATTAGTCAGGAGAAAGAAAAGAGGTGGTTAGGTCAACAGTACCTGTTGCTGCTGCTCCTGAGATGAGAAAGGAGGCTTTCCAAAACCTTCTACCTGGGCTCAGGCTTTCCCCTAGGGACAAGATAGGCCAGAAAAGACCCGGGTGCAAGAATAGTTTAGAGGGCCTCTTCCCAATTTTAAAATCTAAAATTGTGTTTGTCTTTTGCACCGGAGTGGGCAAACGTTTTCGTCGGAGGGCAATAGCTAAGGAGGCAAGTTCTGTGATGGAGCAGAAGTGCTTATCTGCTTAATTTCCTTCCATTTGGGGGGTTAGCAATGAGCAGAGCAGGCTAGCCTCGAATGCCACTCACCAGCAGGAGCTTAAGGACAGGTTGAAAAGGCCCAGTGGGCTGGATGTGGCTTGCGGCTCAGCTTGCCCACCACAGCTTTATCATTCTGAGAAATGCAGATGTTATCCTCCTTAGCTATAAAAATACTGCCACAGTATGTGGGCTATGTCTACAGATTTGCAGGCTAGCTACACATAGGGGCTGTGTCTACACTGGGCCACTTATTCTGGAAAAGCAGTTGCTTTTCCGGAATAACTTGCCAGCTGTCTACACTGGCCGCTTGCTTTTCCGGAAAAGCAATGACGATCTACTGTAAAATTGTCAGTGTTTTTCCGGAAAAACTATGCTGCTCCCGTTCAGGCAAAAGTCCTTTTCCAGAAAAACTATTCCGGAAAGGGCCAGTGTAGACAGCACAGTAGTCTTTTCCACAAAAAAGCCCTGATTGCGAAAATGATGATGGGGCTTTTTTCCGGAAAAGTGCGTCTACATTGCTTGCCAGCTGTCTACACTGGCCGCTTGCTTTTCCGGAAAAGCAATGACGATCTACTGTAAAATTGTCAGTGTTTTTCCGGAAAAACTATGCTGCTCCCGTTCGGGCAAAAGTCCTTTTCCGGAAAAACTGTTCTGGAAAAGGGCCAGTGTAGACAGCACTGTAGTCTTTTCTGCAAAAAAGCCCCGATTGCGAAAATGACGATCGGGGCTTTTTTCTGGAAAAGCACGTCTACATTGGCCACAGACGCTTTTCCGGAAAAAGAGCTTTTCCGGAAAAGCATCCTGCCAATGTAGATGCACTTTTTCCGGAAATACTTATAACGGAAAACTGTTCCGTTTTAAGCATTTCTGGAAAAGGGTGCCAGTGTAGACGTAGCCAGGGTGTGCTGTGAACTACAGCTGCTGGGAACCTGCTGGTGTTCTTTCACCAGACTTGACTCCTATTTGTGAACTGAGTTTTACCAGGTCCAGCAGTCTCTAGTGGTGACCAGTATCTCTACAGCCTATTTCTCTCTGCATGTTGGGGGCAGGATTCTGTGCACAGAACATTAATTTTTGCAGAGTCCTGCATTACAAAGTGTTGCAGAATTGCTCCAGGGGAACCAGGCTAATGCATTGAGGGGTGGGCGAAACCTCATTTTGCCAGATGTGAGGTTCTTACTGACAACAAAGGACCAGACACTTACCTCCAGGTCAATGTATCTAGTTTTAATAATACAAGAACAAAATAGAGGTGTAAATGGTTAATAGATTGGTTAATTACAAATGATTGCATTATGCTTCTATCAGATTTGTAGAAATGATGGGCAGGCTGCTGGCTGGCAAAAGTCTCTCTGACCTCTTCTAAAAGATTGGTAGGTCCTCAGTCCATGGTTCAAAATGGCCCTTTTAGTTGTAAATCCAGCGTCTAGAGTATTAGCGCACCAAAGAGGCAAAATGCAGGTGACTCAGGGGTCTTTCCTGTATGCATGCAAATTTACTGTCCCAAACCAAGCCTACAGCACCTGTGAATTGAATGTTTCTAGCCCAGGATGAGTTTTAGGTTCCATGTCGTCCTCACATGTCATTCCATGGTTTCCTGAGTCACAAGGATGGCCAGTGGTGTCTTGCTGCCTAAAATATCCACATCTCATTGGGAGAGATGAAATTCTTCAGTGGCTCATTTTGTATTAAATATCCTTACTGAGCTAACAATATAGAGCGCTCTTGTCCTGATGTAAATCTGTTTGTGTGCATGGGTGTCTGACCCAGTTCAACATGAATGTTGGAGATGCTAATACCTTGCCAATATTCATAAGTTTAGATACAAAGATAATATGCGACTTTAATCAGGAGAATCATGCTTGAGAGATCATAGCTTTTCTATTGACACTTACATCACACGATTGATGGTAATTGTATAGCAGTGATGTAATGGGTAAACTTTCTTATACACAGTTGCACAAGGACCACAGCCTGAGCCTGTGTTTGGTCACCAAAAAGAACAATCAGCAGTTTTCTCCAACCCTCCCGTTCCTGTGAGACTCTGGTTCTAGGCATGTCCATTGACAGAGCTTCCTGCTGCAAACCAGTCAGTAGAAGGAGGGAGAGGAAAGTGCACGTAGTGGGTGAGGAAAGAACGGCCCCAGGTGGGAATTCATTGGGGAGACTGAGGCTGGAAGCACAATTTAATACATGGCTTTGCAGTGCCCGGGTGCTTTTGCAATCAGATAAACTCCCACATGAGTTTACTGTCTTTGGTATGAGGAGAAGGAAATGTTTCCAACAAAGGTACAGAAATCACAGCCCAGGCACTGTCATCCTGCCTATTTTTTGTGGTTGTCCCTGCACAGGAGCTCTCACAACAGGATGCTTTATGCTGGGATTTCAGTTCTTCTGCTGAGACTGTTTTTTTTCCAAATCCACATGTGTTCACTCCCCTATTACCTAGTCTAATTTACAGGCACCAAGATGCTATTTGCAAACAGCCTCTATAGGGGAGACAGTAACACACCTGAGAGCATGTTTCTATCAGAGTCACCCTTCTGCCACATGGGGTTGGCTAGAAAAACTCTTGGGTTCAGCATCTAGGGATGCTTCCAAACAGTACAAAACAGAACCAGCCCAAACCTGCCAGCCAGAAATCTGTGGAAACTGCACACCACCCCGGCTACCTCTCTGAAGCAATCCTTGTATTACTGCAAACACTGAGTCTGTGTATTACAGAAGCAAAGCTTTATTAAGAACACCAGCACTGAAGTGGGAAAATGCTGCTCCAGTGACTGGAAAGCACATATACAAAAAGTAAAACATTCTCCTTTCAATATTTTGGTCATTGCCCTTTGCCTGAATTTCCTATGTCAGGGCTTAGTTTGTTCAGTCTCTGCTTATATCAAATGAAGCTAATGTACTTTACATTGGAGAAATAGAACATCCAAGGAGAGATTCATGATCAGTGATTTTTATTTCATTATAGGGGAAAAAACGGTATGTATGGTCCTGACTCAACTCTTGTTAAATTCATAGGAAATTATGCCCCTGCTTTCAGTGGCATCAGGATTGGGCCCTGAGGGAGGATGACAGTCCTCTAGATATGCAGCACACAGGAGAATGGAATGAGGGGAACTATCTCTTCTCTGATTTCTTTGAATTATATGATCATTCTAAATCAGTGGTTCTCAGCCAAACATTGTGGGCCACAGATGCAGCCACACAACACCTGGGCTACGTCTACACTGGCCCCTTTTCCGGAAGGGGCATGTTAATTTCAGAAGCCGTAATAGGGAAATCCGTGGGGGATTTAAATATCCCCCGCGGCATTTAAATAAAAATGTTTGCCGCTTTTTTCCGGCTTTTAAAAAAGCCGGAAAAGAGCGTCTACACTGGCCCCGATCCTCCGGAAAAAAAGCCCTTTTCCGGAGGATCTTATTCATCCGCGGGGGATTTAAATATCCCCCGCGGCATTTAAATAAAAATGTCCGCCGCTTTTTTCGGGCTTTTAGAAAAGCCGGAAAAGAGCGTCTACACTGGCCCCGATCCTCCGGAAAAAGCGCCCTTTTCCGGAGGATCTTATTCCTACTTCAAAGAATAAGATCCTCCGGAAAAGGGCTTTTTTTCCGGAGGATCAGGGCCAGTGTAGATGCTCTTTTCCGGCTTTTTTAAAAGCCGGAAAAAAGCGGCGGACATTTTTATTTAAATGCCGCGGGGGATATTTAAATCCCCCGCGGATTTCCCTATTATGGCTTCTGAAATTAACATGCCCCTTCCGGAAAAGGGGCCAGTGTAGACGTAGCCATATAGTATCTGTATGGGTCTGTGCTGTCAGAAGGGCTGCAGCTGGGTGCTGATTGGCCTGCAAGCACCCTACACACTGGGAACCACAGTTCTAGACAAACATTCAGCCCATAATAGGGTCTTCCAGGTCGGTTGCCATAGGGATTTAAGTAGCACTATCCCTTTCATCTCTGTTATCTGCCTCCTCTTTAAAAACGCTCTGGAGTGCCTTTTTTACTGATCCCCTAAATTGTTGATTCCTATAGCTCCCAACAAGGTAGTAAATAACTGGGTTAATGCTGCTGTTGATAGAGGCCAGCATTAATATGGAATTAATAAAATAGTCATAATTAATAAATTCTCGGAAGAAGGCGACAATACTGAAGGGAACAACTAAGAGGAGGAAGAAAAGGACGTTGAGCAAGATAACAATGTAGAGCTTTCTTGGCTGGTGTCGCAGGGAGCTTTGTCGGACCTTAATGATGAGGATCAGACTTGACAGAACTGTGATGGGCGTGAATATAAGGAAATTTATGCTAGTCAGTCGTAGGATCACATGTTCACAATGTTCATTGGAATCGGAAAAGCAAACATATGATCTCACTCCAGTGAGCAGGGCGGAGAGAGCCCAGAGCAAGGCACAGATAATGGCAGACAAGTGCTTTGGGCGGTGGCATCGGTACCAGATGGGGAAAAGAACAGACACACACCTTTCTGCACTGATTACTGTTAGGAGGGACAGGCTGGCACTGAACGTGAATGCCAGCAACAAATCCAAGGACATGGAAAAGTTCAATAAACACAATCTAAAGACTATGCGGGAAAGAGCCAAGAAGAGGAGGAAGCCAAAGTCAGCAGCAGCCAGGTTGAGAACATAGACAGAGAAGGGGTTCCTCTTAATGCGGAAGCCAAGGAACCAGAGCACAATCCCATTTACCACCAGCCCAAGCGGGCAGATGAATAGAGTAACATTAACGCTTGTTAGAAGAATTCGATCGGGAGGTGGAAAGCATATTTTGAATCCATTCCAGTTATATATGGCTCCCTTTTTCAGGGTGGACTCTGTTGAGGGCAGGGATGTTGTCATCAACTCGGTCATCATGAAATCTCTGCTGAGTGATGCGGGTCTCGACTTCGTCCCCACTCACACACACCTGTTGGCAGAGAGCAGATAGGGTTTCAGTGTCTCAGACTCCCCCAATGCCGTATTTCATGGATAGTTGGAGATGCCCACAGGTCCTGAGAGTCAGATATCTAGAGCTATAATGGCCTTGAGGGATGTTAGTAATAGAGAGACAGGGAGAAAGGCTGATGCATGAAGAATACTTTGGATGCAGAGGCAGAGAGACAGTTGAACCGGGAGAGAGGAGTAGTGGGGGAAGAAAGAAATTGGAAGAGTTGTCAACTGTGCATAGAAAGAGAATGATAGAAAAGAGACAGGGGTGCAGAATGAATATTGGGAAAGAGAAAAAGAAGATCCATGTAGTGTTAGTCATAGAATCATAGACCTGGAAGAGACCTCAGGAGGTCATCAAGTCCAGCCCCCTGCTCAAGGCAGGACCAATCCCAACTAAATGAACCCAGCCAGAGCTTTGTCAAGCCGAGACTTTAAAATCTCTAGGGATGGAGACTCCACTACTTCCCTAGGTAACCCATTCCAGTGCTTCACCACCCTCCTAGTGAAATAATTTTTCCTAATATACAACCTAGACCTCCCCCACTGTAACTTTTGACCATTACTCCTCATTTTGCTCCTTGTACTGTGAACAGTCTTTTTTCCATCCTCTTTGGAACCTCCCTTTAGGAAATTGAAGACTGCTATCAAATCCCTCCTCACTCTTCTCTTCTGCAAACTAAAGAAACTGAAATGCATCAGTCTGCTCTCATAGTTCATATACTCTGGCCCCCTAATCATTTCTGTTTCCCTCTGCTGGACCCTCTCCAATAAGTTCACATCCTTTCTATGGGGGGAGAGGGACTCAGAACTGGACATAATACTCCAGATGTGACCTCATCAGAGCCTAATAAAGAGCAATAATCACTTCTCTAGGTCTGCTGGCAATGCTCTTCCTAATGCAACCTAATTTGCCATGAGCCTTCCTGGCTACAAGGGCACACTGTTGCCTCATATCCAGTTTCTCATCCACTGTAATCCCCAAGTCATTTTCTGCAGAATTACTATTTAGGCAGTCGGTCCCCAGCTTGTAACAATGCTTGGGATTCTTCCGTCCCAAGTGCAAGATTCTGCACTTGTCCTTGTTGAACCTCATCAGCTTTCTTTTGGCCCAATCCTCTAACCCGCCTAGGTCACTCTGGACCATATACCTGCCCACCAGCATATATACTTCTTCCCCTAGCTTAGTGTTATCTGCAAAAATGATGAGGGTGAAATCCATCCCTTCATCCAGGTCATTAATAAAAACAGAACAAAACCAGTCCTAGAACCGATCCTTGGGACACTCCACTAGAAACCAGCCGCCAACCTGACATCAAGCCGTTGATCACTACCCATTGGGCCCGACAGTCTACCCAGCTTTCTATCTGTCTTACAGTCCATTTATCCAATCCATACTCCCTTAACTTGCTGACAAGAATATTATGGGAGACGGTATCAAAAGCTTTGCTAAAGTCAAGGTATATCACATCTACTGACTTTCCAATATCCACAGAGACCATTACCTCATCATAGAAACTAATCAGATTGACCAGGCATGACTTGCCCTTTTGTGAATCCACGTTGACTGTTTCTGATCACTTTCCCCTCTTCCAAGTGCTTCAAATTGATTCCTTGAGGATCCCCTCCATGATTTTTCTGGGGACTTAAGTGAGACTGACTGGTCGGTAGTTCCCTGGATTGTCCTTCTTCCCTTCTTTAAAGATGGGTGCTATATTTGCCTTTTTCCAATCATCCACAATCTCTCCCAATCTCCATGAGTATGTCTACACTACAGCGTTATTTCAAAATATCTTATTTCAAAATAGTTAATTTGAAATAAGTTATTTTGAAATAATGCGTCTACACACAAAATGCATTTTGAAATCACATTTTCCTATATTGAAATAGCGTATCTACACTGAATGGATGCTGAATCACATTTAAGGCCGGCTGGAACCAGGTCCGGCAGGGCATCAGAACAGAAATTAATTTGTGTGGCTGCTACCTGAGGCTATCTGAGGCCTGTGCTTAAAGGGATGCCCCCTGGACAGTCGGTTCTCAGCTTTCCCTCCTTGCTTGCCTACCTCAATGAGGGAAAGCAAAGCATTTTGTCTCTGCATACTCTGATTGCCCTCACTCGGGAGACCAAAGCACTCTGCAACATGGAGCTAGAGCGCCCTCTGGGCACTTTAGTGTTTTTCGTGGATGCATTGCTGTGAGCCTGGCTGCACTTTCTGCAGGCTGCCATCAGGGAGGTCCGTCTGGGAGGCTGTCAGTATCCAGGAGGCCCTGTGGGAGAGCTTCCACCCTGAGGAGCTCTCAGAGCCTCCCTGGTCTGCCCCACTGGGGGCTTGTGCCTCATTCCTCCCTCATGTCCTTCCACTTACCCCTCCCTAACCCCCCTTCCTGATGTCAAATAAAATACATGTAAAAAAACGGGGGGGGGGGGAGGGAATGAAACTGTGGTGAGACTGGGGAAGGAGGCGGGAGAGGAGAGAAGAGAGGGTGCGAGAGGAGAGGGAGAAACCTGGGAGGAGGGAGCTGAAAGGGGGGAAAAAAGGGAGGGGAAGCTCAGGGTAGGGAGGTCTCACCGGGCCAACTTGATTGTCATGCAAACCTGCTCCTGGATTCGCATGTGGCCTTTGGTGGCCAGGCTGGCAGCTATTTTGCCCTAGATGGCTGTGTTACTCCATCTAGTGCAGAGATCATGGACGTTGGGAGCATCTCCCCCAAACCTGAATAAGGTCCATAATCTCCACCCTAGACCAAGACGGCGCCTGCCTTCTCCGAGCCCTGGCAGGCTGCTGGGACTTAGTGGACTGCTCCTGGGGAGCGGTGGAGAGCTGGTTGCCAGTGGTTGCTGGCTCATGTTTTGGAGCCACTGGGTCAGGGGCAGTGACAGCTCATTCTGGGCTGGCAGGCTGGGAGCTGGCACAGACACTGTGGCCAGAGTCAACCCCTTTAAGGGCTCCGGGGAGGGAGAGGAATGTTCTTGGGAAGGCTGGAGGCCCCCTATTTTGAAATAAGTGTCTACACAGTGTTTATTTCAAAATAGCTTTTTTGAAATTGGCATTATTCCTCGTGGAATGAGGCTTACCAAATTCGAAATAAGTGCTCTGCTATTTCAAATTAATTTTGAAATAGCAGTTTGGCTGTGTATACACTAGGAATTGGTTCTAGCCCCAAAGTGCAGTGCCCCCCTCTTAGGGGAAATACGGCCCACTGGCCTAGTCCCAAAGTGCAATGCCCCTCTCTTAGGGGAAATACTGTCCACTGGCCTAGTCCCAAAGTGCAATGCCCCTCTCTTAGAGGAAATACGGCCCACTGGCCTAGTCCCAAAGTACAATGCCCCTCTCTTAGGGGAAATACAGCCCACTGGCCTAATCCTCCGGATGCCGATTCTGCAGCCTAGTCCTCTTGCTGAGCTCCCCACTCACCGGGGTTCAGGGCAGGAGGGGTAGGGGGGCCTGGGCCCTCCCTCTCCACCAGGGCCCTATGAGCAGTGGGTGGCTCCCACCACTGGCTCGGCAGGGGCTCCTCCCCACAACACACAGAGCCCTCAGGGGCTTTTCCAGCTCCCTGCCCTCTCCGGATGCCGATTCTGCAGCCTAGTCCTCTTGCTGAGCTCCCCACTCACCGGGGTTCAGGGCAGGAGGGGTAGGGGGGCCTGGGCCCTCCCTCTCCACCAGGGCCCTATGAGCAGTGGGTGGCTCCCACCACTGGCTCGGCAGGGGCTCCTCCCCACAACACACAGAGCCCTCAGGGGCTTTTCCAGCTCCCTGCCCTGGGTGGTTTCCTATCCCCTGCCCCTGGCCAGCTGCGGTCCCAGCTGTTGGCGTTGGTCAGGTGGCTGTAGCGGCACTTCCCCCATCAGCATCGGGGTTGGCGGTGTCCGGCTCGGTGCCTGGGGTGTCAGCCGGTGGCTCCTTTGTTGGGGTCGGGCCTGGCAGCGGCGCATTCAGCCATCCCGTCAACTCCCTCCTAAGCAGTTGGGTACTTCCCCACCTCTGGGGCTCTCTCTGCCACCGGCACCAGGTGGTTTCCCTGGGATTGAGTGCGGGGCGGGGCCGCCCCGTCACACTCATGGAATGATGTTTACCAAATTTGAAATAAGCGTTCCACTATTTTGATTTAATTTCGAAATAGCAGTTTGGCTGTGTAAGCGCTAGGAAAGTTATTTCGAAATAACTTTGCTGTGTAGACATACCTATCATGAGTTTTGAAAGATAATGGCCAAAGGCTCTGCAATTTCTTAGTCTCCTATAGACAACCACCTAACCTCAAGATGATTCTTACCAACCACCACAGGACATACCACACTAATACCAACCCTGGTACCTTCCCTTGCAACAAACCCCGTTGCCAGCTTTGTCCACATATTCATTCTGCTGATACCATTATTGGACCCAACCAAGTGAGTTATAAGATCAAGAACACATATCCCTGCGCATCCAGAAATATAATCTACGCTATCATGTGCCGAAAGTGTCCGTCTGCTATGTACATTGGACAAACATCTCAGACACTTCGCCAAAGGATTAATGCCCACAAAACAGATATCAGACAAGATCACAAAGAGAAAACAGTTTCTTGCCACTTTAACCAGAAAGGACACTCTCTAAATGACTTAGCCACCTGCATTCTGCTACAAAGACCTTTTACATCTGCACTTGAAAGGGAATCCTCTGAACTGTCATTCATGTTAAAATTCGACACTTACCAACAAGGACTTAACAAGTCTTTGAACTTTCTCACCCATTACCAAGACAGTTTCCCCAATTATCACCTGTAATACCATTAACTCACAAACATCCCACTCTCCCTACCTTTAATATCAGCAATTCACAGACACTTACCTTCCTTCCTCCCCCTTCCCACCCCCCCGCATCCCCCTTCTGTTCTGCAATGTGATTTGTCCTTTTCATATTTGTTCATTTTTTTTA